AAATGTCTATTCAAGTCATTTGTCCATTTTTTACTTGGGTTATCTTTCTGTTATTGCCTTTTAAGAATTCTTTACGTATTTTAGATACTAAGCTCATATTAGAAATATAATTTGAAAAGATTTTCTCCCACTCTGTAGGTTGTCTTTTTATTTTTTAAATAATTTTTGATGCACAAAAGTTTTACAATTTGATGAAATCAAGTATACTTATTTTTTTCTTTTTTTGCTTGTGCTTACATCTCATATCTAAGAATCTGTTGTCAAATTCAAGATCATGAAAATTGATTCCTCCCAAGAGCAGGGTGATTTTTAACTCTTACACTAAGGACATTGATTCATTTTGAGTTAACTCTTTTTTTTAGTGTGATGTGAGGGGCCAACTTCAAGTTTTTGCATGTGAATACTCAGTTGTCATAGCAGGATTTATTAAACAGGTTATTCTCTCCCAATTGAATAGTCTTGGCCATTGATACATAGCTTTATTTCCAGATTCTCAATTTTGTTACCTATCTGTCTTTGTACTAGAACCCTGTTTTTCATTTCTGTAGTTTTACATCAAGTTTTGAAATTGGGAGATCTAAATACTTTAACTTTGTTCTTCTTTAAGACATTTAGGCTACTCAAGACTCCTTGGAATTTTATGTATTTGAGAATTGACTTCTCCATTTCTGCAAAAAATGTCATCTGTATTTTGATAGAAATTACATTGAATCTGCAAATTGCTTTGGATATTATTGACATATTAAGGACTGTACCAGTCCTTCACCACCTTGGTTAAATTTATTCCTATGTATATGTTTTCGGGGACACTATTGTAAATGGAATTACTTTCTTAATTTCATTTTCAGATTATTTACTACCGGTTTATAGAAATAATGCTTATTTCAGTGTTGTTCTTACATGCTGCTGAACTTATTAAATCATATAGTATTTTATGGACTATTATAGATTTTCTATATATGAGATGATGTCATCTGTAAATGGAGATAGTTTTACTTTTTCCTTTCCAATTTGGATACATTTTGCTTATTTTTTCTTGTCTAATTGCTTTGGACAGAATTTCTAACACAATGTTGAACAGCAGGGATGAAATAAGTACTTGTTTGTCTGTTCTTGATCTTAGAAGGTAAGCGTCAATCTTAGATGTTATTTACAGATATAATAGATAGATAAACAGATATGATAGATAGATAGATAGATAGATAGATAGATAGATAGATAGATAGATATAGAAATAGATATTTTGTGTTAGGTTGAAGGAGTTTCCTTCAATTTCTAATTTGCCAGGAATTTCTAGTTCTGTCAGGAAGAATAATGCTGGTCTCATACAATGAGTATGAAAATATTCCCTTTTTCATTTTTGGAAGACTTTGTGATTCAAGGGATATTCATTTCAGAAATTTTTTTGAGATCTTTTAAATTTTTTTGGCAGTTCTGGGGTTTTCACTGAGGCTTTTTAGACAGACACTGTACTGCTTGAGCCATGCCTCCAGCTCTTTTTGATCTGGTTATTTTGGAAATAGGGTCTTGTTTTTCACCAAGGCTGACCTGGATCACAATCCTATTTTGCACTTCACACCATTGCTAGAATGACAGGTACATGCCCAGCCTTTTCCATTACAATGAGGTCTTGGGAACATTTTTACCTGGGCTGTCTTGGAACTGCCATCAGTCTCCTGTGTAGCTTGGGATGACAGGCACATTATTGGTTGAGATGGGGTCCTACAAGCTTTTTGCCTGGGGTGCCCTTGGACCACTCAGCCTCTCAAATAGCTAAGATTATAGGCATGTGCCACTGGAACCCAGCTGGGAGATTTTTCTAACTTGATTAAAAAATTGTACTCTGAGATTATAATTTATAATTATATAACTTGAACCCTCTTAACTCGACTGAGATTTATTTTTTGTTGACTGTGACCTTGAGAAGAAAATGATTCTGCTGTTGTTGAGTGAAAGTTTCTATAAATATCATTTGGGTTAAGTTGGTTGATAATACTGTTCTAGTTTATTATATCCTAGGCGATTTTTTCCTTATTTGTTCTATCATTTATTAAGAGGGAAGTATTTAAATCTCTAACTATAATTTTGGATATGTTTATAATTCTATTAGGTTTTGCTTCATGTATCTGTAAGTTCTGTCATAAAGCTAAATATGTTTGGGATTGTGATATTCTTCTAAGATTAGTTGACCCCTTTATACTACGAAATTACTTTCTTTATTCCTGGTAATCCTCTTTGCTTTGAAATCTACATTGATGTTAATATAGCCACTCCAGCTTTCTTTTGACTATTGTTACCATAGTGTATCTTTTTTTCCTAATCTTTTACTGGTAAACTACTTGTAGCATAATATTTGAAGTGTATTTCTTATAAGCAACATATAGTTGAATCTCTCTTTTTTGTCCAATCTGACAATCTACCTACTGAGGTGTTTAGACCATTTACATTAAATGTGACTATTGTGATGGTCAGGTCTATGTGCATCATATTTTTATTTGTTTTCTACTTTCTTCATTTGTTCTTTATCATCCCCTCTTTCTCTTTTTGGATTAGTTGAGCAATTTTATGATTCTACCTTATCTCCCTTATTGGCCTATTGTAACTGTGTTTTATTATTTTAGTTATTAATTTAGGGGTCATATACATTTTTAATATATCACAATCTAACCTCAAGTGATGTCACACTAATTCACAAATAATATAAGCACTTTGCAGAAGTGTATTTTCATTTTTTTTTCCTTTCTAGCCATTACGCTATTGGAATCATCTCATACATGCATTTTTCAGCATTGTATGATATTTCACTTTTCTTACATTGTTTTTGGCAAGAAATTAATATCTTTGATCTGTATGTATTGAGCCTTTTTCTCCACTGACCACTTTTAAGACTTTTCCCTTTATCACCAGTTTCAAGCAATTTGATTGTGATGTGCCTTGGTGTACTTCTCTTTAAGTATCTTATGTCTTTTTTTTTTTCCAAAAAAGAGAATATTTTATTTTCTTTCTAAAAATCATACCTATTGAATATTCTGTTTACATTCAAGTCTAGTGATGCCTGTTAAGTCCTTTTTCCCATTATATTTATTTGTGCTTCTTTTCCACTTATTTTATTTTATGCATTTTAATTTTTTATTATCATAATATTGTTGTACTAGGGGCACCTTGTGGCATTTAAAAAGTGCTTACAATATCTCATAGTTGAATTCATCCCCTCAGTCATTATCTTTACACCCCTCTTCCACATATCTTATGTTTCTTGGACTTATGTTCAATGAATTACATGGATCTCAGGGTTTATAGTTTTAAGTCTATAAAATTTTTAGCATTATTTCTTCAAGTACTTTTTTTCTATCTCCCTCCCTCAGTTTAAGAGATTTCAGTTACTTATATATTAGGACACTTGAACTTGTCCACAGTGTACTGAGGCTATTTTTATGTCTTTGAATTCTGTTTTTATTCTCTGTTTATTTTGACTGTCTTATTGCTATGCCTTCAAGTGCAGTAATCTTTTCTTCTACAATATTCAATCTGCTGTTACTCCCCTTGGGTGTGTTTTTTTTTTTTAACCTAAGACATCATAGTTTTATTTCTAAAAGTTCACTTGAGGCCTTCTCTGTTTTATATCTCTACCTAACTTATTGAAAACACAATGACTAGAAGAGTTTTAGATATCTTCTCTGCCAATTCTAACCTCTGTCTCAGCTCTAGGTCTGTTTGATTGGTTGGATTTTCTCTTCATTACATGTCATGATTTTCTGTCTTTTGCCTGCCTAATAGTCTTTGCCTGATTGCCAGACATTGAAAATTTTACCTTATTGGGAACTGGGTATTTTTTTTATTCCTATAAATCTTGAGTTTTGTTCTGGAATGCCGTTAAGTTTCTTGGAAACAACTCGATCCCTTGAAGACTTCTTTTATGATTTGTTAGGTAGGGCTGGCACAGTCCCCAGCCTAGGACTGATTTTTCCTCACTACTGAGGCAAGACCTTCCTGAGTACTCTACCTAATATCCTGTAAATTATAAGGTTTCTCAGTCTGGCTGAAGAGAGCAGGCACTTTTTCTACTCTTCCCTTTCATCTTTTAAAATTTCTCTCTGGCCTCAATTTCAGCACACACCTGTGTTAATCAATGTTCTCGAATATTTAAGGGCTGTGTGCATTGCCTTTGGGCTTAGCAAACAAAAGCTGGTGAAAATAAGTTGTCAAATAAGCTGAAGTAAAGAGGTTCCTCAAATATTAACTGCTTCTCTTGTAAGTGGCAGAATTAAAGGTATTTTTAAAGTTTTTATATATTTTCCAAAATGTCTACAAGAAATATGTAGTACTTTCACTATTTTAAAAGCACAATGTTGTTAAAACGATTTTTAAGAGCTTGCTTTAACTTTCACATCTAGACTGCAGGTCTAGTTTGCCCTTAGCTTTGGAAAAGCAGAATTTATTGAAGATTTAAAGCTTCTTTATTAAGTGAAAGCAGAATCAGGATTCTGGAATACAGCTGTTGAGAGCATTATGTTATTATCCAATAATTCTGGTGAGGCAGCTGTCCTGACTTTCCTTCCCTTCCCAGCTTCTGCAGTAGTCCCCCCAAGACCCCCACAAAAGAAAAACACTTTTACCATCTCACTTTTAATAACAGGTGGGTTTGCTATTATTTGCTGGGCCAAGGGCAATGTAGAGTTATCTTGCTCTTACGATGGACATGGAGACATACCTTTGCTAGTATAGCTAGTCAGGGACACACTCCAGAAACAGAGAGCCAGACAGATGTGAGCTGAAGGAAGGTGCTTCTGAATGTCCCCTGAATGAAGGCCATAGCTGTATCCTTTACTTAGTCCTATGTGGTTGGAGGGCTATTGTAGGTGTTCTTTTGAATAACTGAAAAATTTGAGGGCCTTTCCAGAGACAAACAATGCTTTTCAACTGGAAAAACTCTTTTCTGAAATTTATGAGGGAACAAACTGAATCCTGTTCACTTTCTTTTATTAGACAAACCATTTACATTTTATCATGAAAATGAAGTCTATAAACAAGATTACTTTATTAAGTCACCACCTCCTCAGCTTTTCTTCTCTTCAGTAAGTATTCACTGTGGTTTAACAAGCCTCCCACCAGACTTTCATGTACATTTAAAAAAAAAAATTGTTCTCTTCCTCTGAGATTTGACTGAGACTCAAAACCTTTTCATTTTTTAGACCTCTTGGAAAAAGCGTTTTTTTATTCTGTCAAAAAGTGGAGAAAAGGACCTTAGTCTTTCCTATTACAAAGACCATCATCACCGAGGCTCCATCAAAATTGATCGGTGTGTATTTCAGCAAAAAACATATAACAAACAGCAAACATGATCAAATCAAATGCTAACAAGTTACATGCAAATTTAAACTTAAAATCATTGCCAGAAGGAACCCAGGGCTTATAATATTTGTAGTTGAAAAGGGACTAAAATAACGAATATTTAGGGTAAAAGTGAAATATTACATGTTATAGGTGATAAATCCTTAATGAAAAATTATTCAGTTAGAGACTTTGGTTCATTTAATTTGAGGATGAAATTACTCTTTTATAAAGCCAAGAAGTAGCTTAAGAAATATTTAGATCAGTTTTTCTTGTCTTCTCTTTAGAAATCATGTACAAAAAAAAAACTGGAAAAGATAATGATTTGTAGACTTAAGAATCCAAGCAAAACAGGGCCTTCTGAATTAAATTTTAGGTTGAACAAAGTATTTTCAATCAATGATGAACCAGATCCAAAGTCCAAATTTATTTTCTGAAATAGAAATACTTCAATTAATAATAATAATTCAAATTGTTGGGCAATCTTCAAAACCTGGATCAAGTCAATCTTAAGTTTTATTCTTTTGAGTCTTAATTTAAACCATGAGTCAGTTTTCTTCCTAATTTGGTATATACATTGGTACTTTGTGTCTATGTCTAACAGAAGCTCCAGCGTAGAAGTTGGAATAAATAACCAGGAAAAGATGCAATCTGTGCAGAAGATGTTTAAATGCCACCCTGATGAGGTGATGTCCATCAGAACCACGAGCAGGGATTACTTCCTCATTGGCCATGACAGGTGGGTAGTATGATAACACAGTGTCTTCTGTGTGCAAAACTAAGCCCCAAACAAAGCATTGTAAACCAATAAACACGTTCTGAACAGAAACCCAGGGCTACCACCTCAGATCTTATCATGTCAGTCTTCATTATTGATTAAAATATCTTAAAAAGTCACTATACTAGTTCCCTAAGGCTGTTGTAACAACATACCCCAAACTGGGTAGCTTAGAAGAACAGAAATTTATTATCTCACTGTTCTGAAGGTTGGGGGTAAGGAATCCAGTTGTTGTCTGGGCTAGGCATCCCTCTGAAGCATGAGGGAAGTTCCAGGTCTTTCTCTTAACTTCTGGTATTCCCTTGGCTTGTGGTAGCCTAACTCCAGGCTTCACGTAGTGTTCCACCAGTGTGCGTATCTCTGAGTCCTAATTTCCCTCTTTTATAAGAACATCGGTTACATTGGATTAGGAGCCAACTCTACTTCAGTATGACTTCATCTTAACTAATTATATCTGCAATACCCCTCTTTCCAAATAAGGTCACATTCTGAGGACTTGGGGCTAGGAGTGAAACATATGTATTCTGGGGGTTTGAGGGGAAAAGAATGACACAGTTCAACCCACAACAGTCACTTACCACCCCAGAAGCATTCCACAAAAAAAGAACTCAACCACAAACATCTGTACAAGCTATATATAATAGGCAGGGGCTATACTCACCCCTGAAAGTCTTCAGTTTTTAAGAGGGGCTCCCACTGCTAGCCCAGTTGCCCAGTGGACTTGCCATACCTGCCTATTTGCTGGAGGGAGAGGCCATGGGGATGGGTGAAGAGGCTTTGCAGAGGAAGCACTTTGCTAAAGCAGAGTGTGAAGAACTTGACCTTTTTCAGATCAATCTAAAGACCCAAAGCTCCTTTTACATTGTCAACAGAAGGTGGGACTCTTTTGCATTGTTTATTTTTTGTTAGTGTGTAGTAATTGTGCAAAATAATGGGTCTCATTATTTCATTTTCATAAGTGTCTATAACATACTTTGATCATATTCACCCCCCATTACCTTCTCTTGGCCCTCCTTGCCCTCTTGCTGTCCCCTTCTTCTTCCCAAGTAGTCCCCTTCTACTTTCTTGTCTTTTTTTTTTTAGTCTAGATTCCACATATCAGAGAAAACCTATAATATTTATCTTTCTGCATCTGGCTTATTTCATTTAACTAGATGCTCTCCAGTTCCATCCATTTCCCTGCAAAGAACATGATCTCCTTCTTCATGGCTGAATAAAACTCTATTGTGTGTACATATATACACATTCTTTTTATCCATTCTTCCATTGACTAGTACCTAAACTGATTCCATAACTAGGCTATTGTGACTAGAACTTCAATAAACATAGGTGTGCATACCCAGGCACAATAGTGACTAATCTCAATAGAGTTTTGGTTTGCATGTCCCCAGTGGCTAAGATGTTGAACATTTTTTCACATATTTATTGGCCATTTGTAAGAAGATGGAATTTTATATAAATTCATTCAAACCCACTTGTCATGAACACATGCATTCCCTAAGGCAGGGCACACCTGCAGACTTTCACAAAAATGGTGTTGACAGGTGAGGGGGTTCACTAAGAACACCATAGAAATTGGTGTTAAAGCCAAAAGCCCCAGACCCTGTCCTTACTACTATCTACTCTTATTTTCTACTGCTCTTCCCATTTCTCTGAGTTTTCCTCGTAGAGGTGGCATGAAGGTTAATTTTAACGTGCAAATGTGGAGGTGGTGAAAAGCCAGTGGGCCATTTAAGCTACTTGTGAAAAATCCTATTTCCCCCTGTAGCTGCTCCCACAGCCTGTTCTAAACCCTTCTGAATTCTGAACCCTTCTCTGGTTCAGAATGAGCACAGGTGCTATTGTTGTCTCACATCAGCTGAAAATTTCTTCCTATCAACAGTGAGAAGATTAAAGATTGGGTCTCCTTCATGGCATCATTTTTCTGGGATATAAAAGCAGCTCATCAGAATACAGAGGTGACTATATCACTATTACAGGGCACCTGAACATAGCCCTCTTTCAGCAGATGTAATAATAGCTTTTCCTTCTCCTTAGCAACTTACATTAATACAAAGAATAAATAAGTGAGAGAATGTACACCCTTGTTGCCTTTTATGGTTAACAAAAGGAAAAATAGCTTTGTGTTTTGTGAGAGAGCTAAAATACAGACATTTCAGATTTCTGTGATTGTGGTAGGGGGAATGAAAGTTAATGATAGCAATTTTTAATAGTAGTTAAAACTGGAGGATTTTTCCATCATTATTGTTCAAGGTACATAATGAATTTCCTTTTGAATGACTAAGTCTAGGGTGGTTTCTATAGAAATGTTTTTCACCTGTCTTGCATTTGAATATAATGTGTCTTTTGTGTAGGGCTCATAGTTTAACATTTTTAATTTACTTCATAAGGGCCTTTGTTAATTTACCGAAGTTCTTTCTTAGAGCCAACCTTTATAAATGGAACTGTGTGTGGTCTCTGTGAATCTTTACGTGTTTTCTAAGTTGTCCCATGCTTAAAGCTAAGGAAAAGGAAAAAGCAAGGCATGTCAACAAGTAGACTTAATGACAAGAACAGAGGGGTCAGGGTACTGAGGGAGACACAGTGGAGAAGATGGGCTCCGGGAGACTCTGGGCCCTTCTCAAGGTCAAGCTAAACATCCTCAAGGGTAGGAGAGAGACACCTGGCAAGATCAGCCCTCATCTTAGTGACATACACTGCTCACCAGCTGCCCAGATATCAGAAGCTATGAGGACATGCTAGAGGCAGGAAGCCCAAAGGAGAGGCTGTTGCTCTATTCCAGACAAGAGATCAACCGTGCCCTTACTACCGCATTCCTTTTTCCTAAGCAGGAGAAATCCTCAAGGGGTGACAAAAGGCCTGTTTCTGACCCCAGCCCTTTCGTTGGTCCTTCCAGCACATTGGAGGCTGTGGGCCCTGCCTCACTGAGGACCAGTCTTCCAGATGTGGTAATTATCAGTCACCTCTTTTCTCTCCCAGGACACTACACCTGGGAGCCAGGGCCAATGCTTCTAACTACTGATTAGCAGTTGACTTTGACCTTGCCCACCTTCCTCAGAGCCTAATGCAGCAGAAGAATGATTCCCTGCCCTAATATTTAGGCATAGTTAGTTCAGTCTTGCTTCTCATTATATTTGCGTATCACTTCATTTTCATTTCTAAAGAAATCCATTTGAAGAAATAAAATATAAGACACCTGCCCCTTGAAAGTGACTTGTAATTGTACCCTCAGCTCTCTTAGATTTACAGTGAGTATTAATAAACAGGCTAAGTGGTTTTGTGCCCTGCATGAATATTAATTTGTCCCTTGGAGACATCGCCATTGACTTTCCTCTCTCTGTGGGTACCAAGCACACCTAATGAGGCAGAGTATCCTATTTTATCTAGTTGGTAGCTCTGCAATTATTTTAAAAGCTTTTTGTAGTGTATCAAATTCATTAGGCTAAACACCTCATCTGTTATTCGGGGGTAGAAACGGTAGTAGGGAATGGGGCTAGGAAGGTTAGCCCTTTTCATCAAATGCCCTCTTGCTTTTTAATGATGAGATGCTTCCTCTCCCCACCCCACCATAACATTAGTGGTTTTACTTTTTCACACCATGTATTCAGATCCAGTGACCTGAACTCAAGTTAACAGTACCATCTGCCCTGTTTGGGTTTGTTATTGTGGTTTAAGTAGGAACCCTTCTCCATCCTGAACTCGGCACGATATGGCTACAAGAGTATCCTAGTGCACTTTCAGCTGCCATGACAGAATACCACATAAGTTTCTAAAGAAACTTATTTCTCACAGTTCTGGAGACTGAGGAGTTCAAGATCAACGGGTTGCATCTTGTGAGCACCTTCTTGCTGCACCAAATCATGGCAAGTGGGCAAGCAAGTGAGACAGAAAGGAACTCATCCTTTTATGAGGAAACCATTCTCTTAATAACAGTATTCATGCACAACATGGCTCTCAGGACCCAGTCATCTCTTAAAGGACCCACTTGTTAATGTTGTTACTGGCAATTAAATTCAACGTGAGTTCTAAAAGAGATATTCAAACCATAGCAATAAGCTTAGGGCTAGAAAATCGGACACAACCGGAGTACAAAAATTCCTGGACTTATTGATAGGGTTATGTCCTGACGAACCCATCATAAATCAAAAATGTCATAATGTGAAAATGCACTGAATAGGGTCCCATAGCTTAGCCTCATGACATGCTGTAGCGGGAAGGTTGTTTCCCATTGCGATTGCAGAGCTGATGGGGAGTCGTGGCTCACCTTTGCTCCCCAACCTCATGAGAAAGTATCATGTTGCATGCAACTAGCCCAGGAAACAGTCAAGACTGAAAAGTTGAACATTGATTTCTACTGAATGCATATCCCTTTTGGACCCTCAGAGAGTCAAAAAAATTTTAATCACCAGTCAGGGACCATCCATATGTCTATTTTTTGAAAAAAATCACCTTTCAAGGACTGCCCAGAAAACATTCAGGATCTTTTCAAACCCCCCTGCCATAAAGCATTGTACTTATAACAGTTCTCCTGCTGTATAAAGCACCTGCATTAGAATGTGTATCTTGTGACTATTGCGGGAGAGAAGGAAATAATTAATTGGTTGAACCTACATCACCTTGAAGCCTGCAATTCACGCTATCATGTGATCAACTCTACCTAATTGCACTGCTATGGAAGCAATGGAAGTATGTTAGCAAAACACAAAAGAAGACTTGTGAGCAGGAAGAGGAGAGGTGCCTGGCCTCGACTCTGGGCTAATTACCTTCTTAGATGGCAGGCATTGGGTGATAAAGATAGGGGTGGGTACACATGGCAGATCTTAATGACTCTGAATGTCACCTATGGGAGAAAACCACTCATTCTGAGTTACAGCTCCAAACAGTAGAGAAAAAAAGTTTGCAGGATGTGCTTATATATTCACATCCTCTTAAGTCTGGGAGGCAGGTTCAAATTGTGTGGGCTTCTGAATATAACCTTGGAAGTTTCTCTGTTCTTGTCAACCCAACTAATCTATTAAGGCTTTTCTAGAAAGTATGCAGTTAACTTCTGTCTCTTGAAAAAAAAAAAAGAAAAGAAAATCATTAATTCTTTCTGTACTTCTTTTATTCAGCATTCAATGAAAAGATATTCTACAGAATTCAGACAAGCTCATCTTCCTCATGATTTCTTATCAGAGACCATGCAAGATGAAGAAGAAGACAGTTGTTATCTTAGTCCTCGAAGCATTCCTTTAGCAGTAAGCCCTCCATCCATTAATCATTCATTCCTCCAACAAATGTCTGCTGAGCCTTTGACCAATACACTATACCTGAGACTAGTCTTAGGTCAGGGGAACACAAGGGTACATTGGACACAAATGACAGATTGAATAGGAACCAACCATAATAGAAGACAGAAAGGGCCCCATGCTAAAAAAATGAAATGTTTATACAATGCTGGGTGCCCTAAGGGTGGGAGGATTTCCAGACAGAAGATCAGAGGCTTTACAGAGGGAGATGACTTTTGACCTGACTTGATGAATAAAATTTGGTCTTGAGTGTGATTTGAGGAGTCTTTCTGCATTTCTGGACTGAATGAGAGCAAAGGTCCTTTGGTGATAAACTGTGTGGTGTAGATCAGTCAGCCTGTCAATCAGCTGGAAGCCCTGCTGAGTGCTAGGCATTGTACGGTCCTAGGCACAGTAGATACAATAGTGAATCTGACATTGTCCTGCCCTCAGAGTCTGCAGTCTTACCAGTTAGCACAGGGATAATGCTACACAAAGAGGTACAAAGTGCTCTGGAAACATCAGAAATAGGACAGATTCTCTCTCTCTCCACTGGAGCAGAGAAGGTTTCAGAAATTAATAGCTTTTGATATGTGTATAGTGAATGGTGCAGTTAGGCTGCAACTCAGAGTGTGCATGGCACAGTAGGGAATAAAACAGAAAAAAAAAAGCCAGATCATGATGTATCTTGAGTGTCAAGTTGACTTTATTCTGTGGGCAGCGTAGGGGCAGTAGTGGCTTTTAAATTGGGAAATGACAAAACCTAAATTGTCTTCCAGGCATATAAGCACAGCAATTGTGTGGTAGACACAGACACAGAATGCAAAACGGAAGTGGGGGACAGGAAAACAAAGTGGGGGAGAGGCTGTGTTATCTCCACACTGCGGGTTTTCAAGTAGATGGTGATGTGGAGTCGTTAGGGGACTGCTAAGTTACAAGTAGGTTACATAAGCTGAACAGCAGGACTTTCAGTTTTTAGTATGCAATGTATAAATAACCAAGCAGTGTACAACACACACCATTTCCCAAGCTTATTTGAGCACCAAAAATATTTTCATACTAGTGCTCCCTAGGATAATCAGGTGTGTACTGAGCATTACTGATAAGCTGGCAGTGTTTAGGCACTGTGTGATGCAGAGTCTGCGAAGGCAGATAAAACTGTGATAGAAATTCAGAGTCATCAGCAACAGTGGAGGTGTTCAAGGGAGGCCATGGAACTTCTAAGAGGACTGAACACAATTTCGGTGGGCAGAAGAGAAAAGGAATATTTCAGGTGAAGGAGACTGCATGAATGTTGGACTAGAAGAGCACCTTTGATAAGGCCAACAGTGGGAAGACTGGCTTGACTGAAAGGCAGTACTACAATTATAGGCTAATGATGAACTAGGTGAGGCGTCTTAGGGGTTCTGAAGCAATTATCGTTGCCAATGATTCTTAGTTCTATGCAGTTGGTTGACTGCATTGCAAGGGCAGAATTTTCTAAGACCTTCACAGCCCCCTGAAGCAACTTGGAATGCCTGCGAGCATAGTAACTCCACATTATGTCTAATCTTTGACACATCCAGCATTCATGATTATGTAGTAGAACCAGTTGGGGGAAAAGTTCATAGCATTGTCTAGTAATGAAACAAAAAGAAAAATCCCAATTTAGTACAAGGGAAACTTGCCTGGAGCATAGGGGACCCAAGAGAGGGATGGACTTTGAGTCTGTCAGAAGCTCTGCTGGTTCAGTCTCATGTAGGTAAGATTGGTTGGTAGTCCCTCAAAGAGAACCACTGTCCTTCCAATGGTTATGTGTTTACTACTTCAGGCCCAGAGCTCTAGTGTTGTGAATAAGAAGATACCTAGTGGAAGGATGGATTGCATCCTTATGTCTGTTCCTCTTGTCTTTAGTTGGAGAATATTGAGTCCAATGATCCTGGTGACTTCATTGACGCCAGTAGGCCAGATCAGGGCTCCAAGAGAGCGGAGTGCTATTACATGTCAATGAAATCCTGGTAAGTGAGACTACCATTTTAAAACTTGATTTTAGCTAACCTACCATGATAAGATAGTTACTGCCATATTGATACAAACCATTACCATACACTGCATTTGATACAAGTTGAATATCCCTTATCCAAAATACTTAGAATCAGAAAGGTTTCAAATTTCAGATTTTCTTGCACTTTGGAATTTTTGCATATTCAGAATGAGATATCTTGGGGATGAAGCTCAAGTCTAAACACAAATTCATTGTGTTTTATATTTACCTTATGTACATCACCTGAAGTCAGTTTTATACAATATTTTTAGTAATTCTGTATGTGAAATAAAGTTTTGAGCTTTGGAATTTTCTACTTGTAGGATCATTCACACTCAAATTTTGAAGTTTTGGTTTTCACATTCTCAGATGAGGGATGTAATATCAAAACAGGAAAAAGTGGCAATGGTTTCTCCACCCACAGAAAACCATTTGTGACATCCTCAGGACATTTTTCTGTCTTGGGAAGTTGTTTCCTGTTTTGCATTTATCTCTTACACTCTCACTCTGTCCTCCAAGTTGTATAAAGAGTTATTTTAAGTCCACATCCATTTTTAGAAGGAGAGCCTGTTGGATTTGATTCTAACTGTGGCTGTGATTATGATGGTTGGACATACTTCAAGACCTTGTTAGTTTTCACATGTCTGTTAGCTACTTACTTATATCTGACACACACAGCAGAAAGTTGTAAATAGACATGCTAAAAAAGGTTTTGTTTTAACTTCTTGTACTCTAGTTTTTTCAAAGAAACACCCCATGTGTCTGTTGATTGCCAAGATGAACCCCAGATCTTTCCAGAGAACCAAGAAGAGGGGCTTCACCTGCAAGAACAAGGCTCAGAAAGTGACTTGTGTCTTTCACCTGCCAATCCAGAAGCACAGAACACAAATGATAAAAAGGGGTCGGCCTCACTAACTGTTGTGAAGTTGTCTATATTACTCAAGTAAAGCACTCATTTCTAATGGCCCCAAGAGCAAAGCAGGCTTCTTAATATGACTTAGAATTCAAATTTTGAAGCATTTGCTAAAAATCCCCATGTCAGCCAAGAATCTGAGCAGCTTCTCTTTGTCATGGAGGCTGAGGCCAACCACAGTGAATAACAGAGCTGGAAGCAAACCAGTCCCTGGGCTAGGGATGGTATTTTCAACTGGTGTTAAAAGTCTTCCCTTGGCTAATCTTTTAGGTCCTGGAACTCTGGCTCCTCACTAATCTGAGTAGTATGTCACCTGGCTTTTATCATTAGTGAATTATGGGCATGCAGTCTCATGAGGATAAATATAGATGAGGAAGGGGCTGTGTAGGTCATAAGTGATGTTAAGGGCATTTATAAGATTCCTATAAGTTTAGTTCTTCTCCATGTCCTCTTCTATAGAATAACTTCCAGGAGAGAAGTATGCGAGCTGATCTGATATGGGCATTGTCTAACTAAGTTAGTCCATTTTTGCCTCTCTTTCCATCATCTACCATCTACTACATCCCAAGAGGTGTGGAAACGAGCACTAATGAGTACTTTTAGTGCCTTAAATTCATATTTTTTCCACATGTTTTGGACAACCTTTAATTGGAAGTTATCATCTCAGAAATAGAAGGCCAAAAATCCACTCAGAAAGGGCAGTTCAGAGCCAGGGACAGTTACTGCCTCATGTGAGTTTTACAAATGTTTTCTGTCACAGTAACATCTCTGATGAAAACCAAGTGGAGACGTTGCACGTGTTTCTTTTTCCTCCTGATGTCATAAACTATCTTGCTCTCATAGAAGCCGCAGGACGGATATGGTAAGTGGAAGTTTTGACAGCTCCTGACCATAAATGAAATTAAAAGATAAGAAAGGAACAATTATATCTTAAAATACTATATTTGACAAAACCGACTAAGAACTTGGACTATTGCGTTGTCACAAAAAAATGCCAAAAGCAACGTATTGCTGTGTGGGGAATCAGCTTGCAAAGGCGTGGGTGTAAGAGGACCCAAAAGTCTAAGAAGCAGCACTTTTCTGACTTCTCAAAGGTGAGGAAGAGTGGGCAAGAGCACACATGTCCTGGAGGATCATTGCACAGTGAGTATTTGATGAATGAAAGAAGTGAATAAAGAAAACAAGAATCAAAAGTCTAAAAGAAAAAGGCACATTGGGGGTCTAAGACTTCCAGACATCAGCTGAAACCCCTGCTCAGGGTCTCCAACAAAAAAAGACTGTGTAACAAAGAATTTCCTTAACATAACCACTATTTATTTGACTCCACATTCTTTTAAAAAGTGTAGCAAGGCATGGTGGCACACACTTGCCATCCCAGCATTTGGGAGTGGAGGCAGGAGGATTGCAAGTTCAAGGTCATCTTGAGCTACATAGTAAAACCCTGTCTCAAAAAACGAACACATACACAGAAAATGATCAGTAAAAAAGGGCAAATGCTACACATTTGCTGTCTTCTAAGTTCTGGTTGAGTACAAGTAATAACCTTTCATTTTCCCAAATTTCCCACAATGTAAGGCTCAATAAATACTTGACCAATCAATAGACTTCTCCATGACTGAGCTTGCTCATTCATTCATTCGATATTTATTGTGTAATCTTATGTGCTCACATCCAACAACTACTTTCTGAGCATCTTCTGTTTACTTGGAGCTACATGGTTGTAAATTTTTTTTAAAGTAAACAAAAAGGTGGCCCCACACTTCCAGGCTCACATAGTCTGGTAAAAATGAGAAAACTGAGTAAATAAGTAAACAATAAATAAGGTCACCCCCCCCCCCGAACAACAATGCTGTAAAGTTCAAGAGCAGGGAGATTGATTGCAGCTAAGGAAGTAGAACATAGGACCTTGGAGGGCTTTGCAAGTGTGCAGTGATTGGAGAGGGAATTGGAGGAAGGGTTAAGCAACATTGATGGTGACAGAGGGAAAGTTACTCCAAACAGAAAAGGAGATAGCCTACTTCAGATGTGAACAGCCCAGCTCAGAGGGAGGAGACCCAGTAAGCTCCAGCCCTGTCCTGCTCAGGAACTTGGTCTCAACCTGGTTTTGTATGCTATATTCCCACTGCAGTGTGGCTCACTGGGAAGGCCCATCCCATCTGGGATGCTTATTCTGCCATGGAGATCATGTTTTGGCTGTGAATGACCTGAAGCCCCAGAACCTGGAGGAGGTGTCCTTGTTTCTCACCCGGTCCATCGAGAAGAAGGTGAGTCCCGATGACCAGCTCTGGTGAGTGCCAGAAGGAATAAGATCAAAGTCTTAGATGGAGTGTGAAAAGTCCTCGGGATACAAATGAAACTCTTCCTTTCATAGGAGATAGTATTTGGAGAGGGCTTGCATGGAATCTAACTGGCTCATGACTTGTAGGGAAGCTCCTTTAACTAGTTTGTGCCTCTGTTTTTCTCTTCTGTAAAATTAGGGACACTGGTAGAACCCATCATTGGAGAACTAAACGAGATAACACATTGCAGGATGTTCACAACATGACTGCACATTTAGGTACTCAGTGTAGTTACTATTATTTTACTTCTACCTTTGTGGCCAGGCAATGTTGGACAGGCTTATCTTTTCGTGTCTCAGTTTTCTCACCTAAGAAATAGACATGACCACGCCCTCCTCATGGAATTATTGTATAAGAATTGAATATAACGTGGGCGTGCACAGAGTATGTATGTTTTTAAATAGTCTTGCCTATTGATGCAGTCTTTATATTGCTCATTCCTTCCTGGTCTACTTTTATTTCCAAGTAGCCCTGTGACCTTGGGAAGTCACTTCCTTGTTTGGTGTTAAGTTTCTTCTCTCTAAAGCGAGAGGATCAGTTTGTAAACTACCCCTCGTGGGCCTCTGAGATGAGAGTGGGGAGAGAGAAGGTTAAGGGGACAGTGTGCTGGGCTTCAATTAATGAAATCCACATGTATCATTTATAAAACAGACAAGTCTAACATATTGGACTGTCCTGTTGGCTTTCTTTAAAAACACAGTTCCTTGACTTGAGATGTCTGAAAACCATGATACTAGGTGATCTTGCCTTCAGCTCCAAGAGTTTATGATTATGTTTTAAGGACATCATGTATATTAAGCATATGTCTTACTCTTCTCCATTACACAATAATCCTGCTATTTAGACAAATTATACTAGCCCTATTATAGGAACAGGAAGCCCGGTAAGGACGAGTTGTCTAAGATATATAACTAGTTAATGGTGGAGCAAGGACACATTCATTCATTCGTTCACCCACTATTTATTGAACACCTACCTAGGTCAAATACTGTGTTATGTTCTAAGGCCACAAAAATAGCCTCAGCTTGAGTCTAAGGAGTACATAAAAATAAGCAAGCTATATGCTTCTTTTAATACAGTGTGTGCCCTAAGGTGTGAATAGGGAGTATAGAGGAAGAATGGAGTAAATCTTTTGAGGGAGGCAAAAGGGTATCTCAGAGGAGGTTGTGTTTGGCTTGGCTGTTGAAGAATGGATGAGAGTTTTATGGTGATGAAGAGATAGATTTCAGAGACCCAGTCCAACAGTTTGGAAATATACTCTCTGCCACACTGGGGCCAATTGGTCAAGATAAGCTTTGGAACTCCTCTGAAAGTTCACTAACAGTACTTTGACCCAACGATCCAGGCACCAGCTCAGAGGCCAAGAAAAAGTTTTCAACTGTGAGCAGATCCCGCCTATAGGTGTCACCGCCTATACTTCCTCATGACTGCCTTTCCACTTGCTCGGGTGGGGACACCAACATTTCTCTTGTGCTCATTGTGCCCCATCCCCCTTTTTGGGAAGAACAGCTAGATTCTTTTGGGAACCAACATGATTATCTAGATGGTCAGGAGGGTCCCCTGCTTCCCCACTCTTCCTAACTTCTTTCTTTTGTGTGAAAATGGACATCGCAATCCTCTTTTAAAATTCAAACACTGGAAGGAAAAAGACATGGGAAGGGAACTGTGGAAGAGAGCAGAAACTACACTGGCCCCTGATGGGCTTTTGTTGTTATTGTTGTTGTTTGGTTGGTTGGTCGGTTGACTTTTTGTGGTACTGGGAATTGAACTCAGGATCAGTTGCTCTATAACTTGACCCACACACACAGTCCTTTTGCTTTTAGTTTGTTTTTCAGATAGGCTCTTGTGCTAACTTTCCCAGGGACTGGCCTAGAATCAAGATCTTCCTACCTCTGCCTTTGGGTAGCTGGAACAACAGGTGTATGCTACACTTGGCTTTTTCTTTTCTTCTTCTTTTTTTTTTAATGACAGTATGGGTGTTTGAATTCACGGCCTCACATTTGCTACGCAGGCACTCTGTCACTTGAGTCATGCTCCCAGCTTTAGTTTAATTTTCAAATCGCGTCTCCTGCTTTTACCCTAATGATCCTTCTACCAGTCCACCTCCAGTGTAGCTGGGTTTACAAGTAGGTACCACCAGGCCCAGCTTGTTTTGAGAAAGGATCTCACTAACTTTTTTGCTCGGACCAACTTCAAATCACCATCCTCCTATCTCCACCTCCTGAGTAGCTGGGATTACAGATGTGTACCACCATGACTGCCACCCCCTCCCTGCCCCTTTGGTTTTAAAGCACCTGAGCCAGCCATTTCTACTTCTTGTCAGGTTACAGTTGAGCGCTATGGAGATGAGGGTAGTGATGGGGCAGGGTCAGTGGGCAGAGACAACTTGAGACAGGGAGGGCATGCCAGATTGCAGGCAGAACTCACTGAAGTGCATTTCCTTCCAGTTTTGTCTGGGGTTGGTCTGGTCCCATGGTCTCACTGGTTCCAAGAGGCTGTTTTAATTCCTGGTGTAGCTGGGCTCCAGTGAGCAGCATCAATGCCCTCTGGAACCTACCCTAGGGGCTCAGGCCAGTGCATGCCAGAAAATCAAAACCCATCTTTCACTGAGTGTGCATGCTGTCCCGGCTTCCTCTGGCCCATTGTGGTTCATCACAGAATTTCCCTCAAAAACAATTTCAAAGGGTGTGAAGGACAGAGAACCAAGAACCCAAGAGACAATCTTCAGTTATTTACTTGTCTCTTTTCTTGTGTTTTAGAAAGTAAAACTCTCCATTGGCCGGATCCAAAATTCAGAGAAATTCCACACTATCCCCTGTTCTTGCCCCTTAAAATATCAAGGAGTTTCACCTGTCCAGCAAGAAAAGCCAGACAGGACACCAAAGAGGAGTCCAGCTATCAAGAAGAGCCAGAAGGAGGTGTCAGGAGAGTAACCTGCAGTGGACCTATTGCAGCAGGAGGAGGATGGAGCTGTAAACCAGGCAGGCTGTGCCACTCACAGCCCTGAGACCAGGGACAAGCCAGTCCACCTCTCTGAATCACTGCACCTGTGTCTTAACAATAGGGGTGACAGTCCGCTCTCTGGCTGTTGCATCAGGGGTGTTGAGAGGGTCACGAGGAATAATGACTAGGGAACACAGTATAAATGGAAGGCATTATTATCTGAGACTTTTTCCCAAACACTGCAGACATTGATTGGGTAAGTCCCTAATTAATGTTGTTTGTTCCGTGAGGTCGTGGTCCACACACTGGCTGCTTTGTTAGGGAATGTCCAGTTGGAATGACTCATTCCAGGAAGGAGAGATTCCCCAGAATGATGTGAGACCCTAGTAGCCTGCCCAACACCTTCTGTGACTCATCACCTCAGAGGCCAGAAGGCAGAGAGGCCTCCTGGACTCTGTATAGCTAGCTCTCTTTTTCTTAAAGATGCACTCACTGCTTTAGAAGTTGAAGCAGTTTTAGGTCAGATCCAGCAAAGGTCTGCTTGCTGCACAGTGGTAAGAGAGCTACATAGCACCACTAAATTTGGACATTCTTCACTGATGTATTAAGGAGTTGATCCCAAAGGCCAAAAGAATCTGAAGAAAAAGAAATCTATTTCATAATCAAGAAAGCAAAGGCAGATAGCTAATCAAACAGGGGAATGCCAGAGCCAAAGGGACTTCAGAAGGTGTATTTACCAGGTTATTTCACTTGAAAGAAATCCAGACCTTGGATGGAGGTCTGTCTTCTTCATGGCTCCAAGTTTCATAGCTGCTTAGGGGAAGAACCAGGAACCTAAAACCAGCTCCGGAAAACAAATGGCCAGATCTTGGCCTTGTATTTCAATTTCGATCAGGAGAGACCTTCAGCACTCAGAAGAGTCATTCAGATACATTTCATTTACTGTTATCCAAACTATTGAGAAAGTATAAAATAGTCTCACTTACATGTGCTATTTGACCCACTGTTTCTTCTTCTAGAAATGTATCCTACTGAAACATAGAAATACACAAAGATAGGTGTAAAAACCAAAAAGTTTACTGCAACGTTGTAGCAATGTTTTTGATAATAAGAAAATCACTTGAGGATTGCTTAATTATGATTTTTATGTAATTGAACACACCAGGTTTTTAAAAGTTCAGAATGCCCAACTATGGAGAAATGTATATGGTGTAATAAGCATGAAAGAAGCAGGTGCAGTACAGTAGGTAAAACATTGTCCCATTTTGGTAAAAATGAATTTTTGTGTAGATGTGTATGTAATGTTTCCATAGCCCTAGTTAGGAGACAGCTACCTCCCTTCTGGGAAGTTCTGAGATTTAAATTTAAGCATTGCTGCCTTCCTCAAAAACACTCCACCGTATCTTCTGTGCTGTCTCACCGCCATGCTTATTTTGTTTTGTTCTTAAGTTTAGAAGACACACATTACATTGTCAATAAGAATTGTCTCTGAGAAGCATGATCCAATGGGCCCTGAGGAGGGAGACATTTCTGTAATGTTTGAACTTTTTTGTGTTTTTGCCATGAGTGTATCTGTTGTAATGAAAAAAGTATGAATGCAGAAAATAAACAAACATGAGTGTGTATGTTTGTATTTTTTTAAACATTCATAAATAAGAAACCAAGCCATATCAGTAAGGAAATAAAGACCATAAAGGTAAAGCTACCTGGCAACCAACCGTATAGATGAATGCGGAGCTCTAAATTCCAAAGAGCCATTCCCTGATCTGTTCAGAGGCTAAACTACAAGCCAATAAAAGCTAAAATGAAACAGAGGGACACATTTTAGTCACCAGATCCCTCTGACCCTCTCTGAGGAGCTCAGGGCAAAGGAACTGACCATCCACCTGGCTCACAGATGTGCTGGACAACAACACTGGATTCCTGGCCCTTCCTAGCACATCACAGGAGAGGGGCCACACCTAACCACAGGGCTTCCCTTCTGCAGGAGAATAGTATGGTGAGGGGTGCAGGGGTTGTTATGAGGACACTGATCTGGAATTTGTTCTCAAAAGAAAATCTCAGGGAGGATTTCTAAAGTCCCCCAACCCAAAGCTTCTGATCTAGTAGGTCCAGTGTGGTGCCCTGGAACTGGCAGATTCATGACACTAGCCAAGAAAGTCACATTTCAGCAAAGCATGGTGCCAGTGGAGAGGTCTTTAGGGCAGGAAGTATGCACGCATACCTTCTGGAAGGGAGAGGTCAAGCTTTCAACAGTTCTGAAAGAGGCTAATGACCACCCATCTTCTTGCTCTTTGCTAGCTGGGGAGCCCCATGACCAGCACCTGGGAGAAGCCATACCTTCCAGGCTGGACATTGCCACACACAGTGGCGAGGCTGAGGTGAAGAAAGAAACCCTCAATTTCCTCACAGTTATTTGTCCTCTGTGCTTCCTTTTCCTGGAGCTGCAGGTGGCCATACCGCCCTAGGTCTCAATCTAAGTTTTCTCCTAATAGTGCTAGGGTCCCCAAACTCTGGGAATAGAGGCATTTGTCCCATAGCCCAGCTTTTGGGTCCTCTTCCAATACCAGACTAAGTGCCCTGCAAGACAGCCTGCTAAGAGCTGAAAAAGGCACATGACCTAGAATCCCAGGTACTTGAGAGGTGGAAAAGGAGGATCAAGATTCAAGGCAGTTAGTGAACTCCCATCTCAACAAACAAGCCAGGTGTGGTGACATGCACCTATGATCTCAGCTGTGTGGGAGGTATCGGTAGGAGGTCCATGGTCTGATGCCACGCCAGCAAAACGTTACATGCTATCTAAAAAATAACTAAGGCTGGAGACATACTGAAGTGGTAGTGCACTTGCCTAGAGGGAAGACCTGAGTTCAAATTCCATTACAGGGGAGGAAGAAGAGGGCTTGGGCCTCACGTTGTATAATTTCACCCGAGCTAACACATTCAGTCATCTGCTCTTGATGTTCATCCCAACCCCCTTCCTGGTGGATGAACTTGGGACTGATCCTGCGAGAGACTGGCCCAGCTGTCCCTAGAAGGATAGCTCTCTTTTGGACCTATTTCTGGAAGAAAGGAGTTAATGAGAATGGACTGTAGACATTCTTGGCCATCACATCCTTGGCCTGAATCTGATGTGGCTTTTTAGTCTTGCTGGGGAAGAAACCAGAGCTCAGAGATATGGAGCAACTCACCTGGGCATGCCCAGCTCCATGCCAGGCTTATAGCTTCCCAGCCCACACCTTTTCTACTCACACACAACTTTTCTGAAGGGCATTGGAGGTTCCAGACCTCCAGCCTGCTTTTGCTTCCTAACAGGTGCCTCATGTCTCTAGGACAGGCATCAGGGGACTTCTGCAGCTTTCTGCTTAGCTCTCTGTTGAGGATACAAACTATTGAGAATGGATTCCAAAGAAAAGTTGGTAAGAGAGGGAATGAAGGCACAGGGCCAACCATGTCCACCCATCCTTGACCTGTTGACACATTAGAAGGGTCAGTGTGCATTCTGGGAAAGCATTCTTCTTTATGTAGAGTACAGAACACTGCGTGCTTATGTGGATGTACAGAAGTATGTGTATATGTACATGAGGGTGGAGAAGACAGGTAGAGAATCACAACGATGCTCTAATAAACCCAGCAGTGAAGCACCACAGGCCACTACATCTTCTGTTATATATTAATGCATGAACATTATTCTATTTTGATAATGTTTACAGATAAAATATTCACACCAACGACTCTAGCAACATTTTTTTTCTTCTTTTTTTTTTCATTCTTGGTCTGGTATAGATATAATACCAGATATATAATATCAAATTGAATGCCAAGCTACAGGCCCTTTCAACGTAAGCTGCTTTCTCAACAATTAGCAGGTTTCTGTGGAGTACTCAATAAACTTGGGAGCTGTTATGAGGACACAAAAGTAATGCTAGTTCTAAAACTCTAGTAAATTGCTTCCCACATGGTGAGGGAGAGAAAAATGAGCCTAGCATGATGTCTTGTTTACCTGATGTTATTTGAGAAGGCACTAATGTATAAGTTTAGTTTATTATGATAATCATAGTGTTTCCAAAATTTGTGAATGCTTTCTTGCATTCTTAAGCTTGTCTGACTCAGGGACACAGTCATGGGTGTTATAACCATTCATTACGCTCTTAAGTACAGGTTAAATATCTATTATCTGAAATGTTTGGGACCAAAGTATTTTGGATTTTAGATTGTTTTTTGGAGTTTGAAATATTTGCATATACATAATGAGTTATCTTTGGAAGGGGGCCTAATTTCTAAACACAAAATTCAATTATGTTGCATATATACCTTATACACATAGCCTGAATGAAATTTTATACAATATTTTTAATAATTCATGATGTGGAATTTTCCACTTGTGGTGTTATGTCAGCACTCACAGTTTCATATTTTGGAGCATTTTGGATTTTAGATTTCAAATTAAGGGGCTCAATCTGCATTTCCTAAGGAATACTGGGCTATGAAGGACCATCTCTCCCCTTGCCAGATGATCTTGGGCTGTTTTTAGGCAAATTAATTTTTTTGAGTTAGTAGTGGGGATTGAACTCAGAACCTCAAGCTTGCTAGGCAAACACTCTACTACTTGAGCAATGACCTCAGTTTTCTTGCTTTTAGCTTGCTTTTCTCAGGTAGGGTCTCTTGCTTTTGCTCAGACCAGACTTGAACCCGGATCCTTCTACTTCCAACTCCTGAGTGGCTGGGATTACAGATATGAACTACCACACCCTGCTCTTCTGATTTTGTTTATGTGTGGGCTGAGAAAACAGATATTGCAGCTGGTTAGAACTACACATACCCTAAGAGTCAATAGCCACGAGTGTGGGTATGAGAGGTTTTATGAGAAAAGGACATCAGTTTTTCTGTGACATGAACTCGAGGCTCAGCTGTCCTGGTTGTAGTGAAGATATTGTCATTTATTTGCCTCTTGGTTCTCAAATGTGTTCTAGATTGATGAACTTACCAGAAC